TTAGTATGACTCACCAAGAAACCTAAAAAAAGAAGGAAAAGAGGAAGACCAAATGCTATTAGCTTTAATGCTTTAATTGTGTGTTGTGGCTAAATGCACTTCCGTGATAAATGTACTATCTCTACTGTTCTGGAATCCATGAGATTGCCTTTTAATCTTAGGTCCTGAGTATTTGATCTCTTCTCGACTGGTTGTCATTGAATCATCTCAAGTTCTTCTAAAGGGAGTTTGTTTTGGTTTGTAGATTAACATCTTTATTCCTGTTTGATCTGAGACAACATATGGTTTCTGTTTATGACGATTCTCCGTTTTACTTTTAAAGGAGTGTAGGCATCAATCATGCTCATTGCTCACACTTCTATTTTGTGGTTCTTTGGATGCTAATGATTTGTATTTACGTTACAGGCAAGCTCAAAGAAATGGGAAATTCCATTTTGGGCCGATTTGGTATGAGCGTTGACAACTTCAAAACAGTGAAAGATCCAAACACCGGTTCCTACTCGGTTCAATTTCAGAAGTGATGAGGGTTTTTCTCATGTTTGCAAAATTTGCATTTCTTGAATGAGAGATTTGATTAAACAGGACATTTGGGTGTGCATGTTTTGAACAATGTATCACGTTATTGATTTTGAAGTATATAAGTGTTGGCCAAAAACTTGATATTTTAGGTTTCTAAATGTTATAAAAGCAGATGGCTTTGTAGCCTTGGTGTCTTTTTCTTGTCTATGTTCTAATAGAACTTTGGACTTAACATATGGTCATGATGATTTGGGTTGTGTTTGGCTTCGTTGATACAAAAAAAATCCCCCCCCCCCCCCCCTCTTTTTGTGCATGACTTGGTGAATTAGAGTTCTCGTGTTTGTGTTGGTGATAGTTGAGATGCGAGTTACTTGATACTTGTGCTAGTGGGAGATATCAAACCCCTGATGAAAATGAAAACGATAAATTTGAGGATGTCAATGCTTTCTAGCCCTTGTACTACATTATCAACATTGTCCTTGTGGTAGTCTTAGAAGATGAATGTCAACAAATTTGATGGTAGTCTAATGGACCATAGTTTTATTGCCAATAATAAGTCGCATTCAATGCAATAACAAGTTTAGTGTAATCTTATAAGTTGGGGGATCTTACAGGATTGATATGAAAATAACGATAGTAAATAACAAGAGCAATGAAACAAGAAGTATAAGTAAAGCAACAAGTCAAATGCACATTACATAAATGTGAAAAAATTACAAACACCATTGCCATGAGAATACCCCACCTTTCTACTATTGTTAGATTGTAATGAGACACCACAATATTTACAGCTACATCTTAGCAAAATACAACAACTATGCCTTAATCTCTAGTAAGTTGAGGTCGATAATATGAATCCTTACTGACCATGTTGCGACATTTGAACTCACCTTAGATGACACCTAGCAAAATCACATAGCTTAATCATAAGATGATAAAACACGCACATTGGCTAGATGCATCTAAGGTGAAGTCAGATGCTGGCTTCACATAGTAGATATCACCAATTGACTCGATGTAGTCCCCTTTTGAGCCAAAGTTGGTAAACTGTCATATGGAAGGAGTCATATTTTCTCGGGCTACTATACCACGTGAAGTGCTTTCTCACGATGCCTAGATTCTTGTACATGTTGAGGTACGTTTGTTTAGGCACCGAGAGCAATATCTTCTTTAGGTGTGGAACATCCCTTTCATTAACAATAATTGAGAACTTGCTCCAATCTAATATGTTGGCTAAAGGAAGATCATAGTAGTTTGAAATAAGTACAGGGACACAGCCATGCTGAATAGCATCACTGACTCTAGCCGTATTCACCTCGTAACCTTTCACGTGGAGACAGTATCTACTTCTCCGAAATCCTTCCTTGTAAGGGAAAGATGAACTCCCTGAGAATATATCAAAGGAGCTATCGTTCTTCCATAGCTCCAGTAAATCTCGTCTTGCAAGAGAGTTTTGGATGCGACCAGCAAAGAAGACAAGCTTGTGTCTGCAAAAACGAATAAAACATTGCAAAGGTAGAGGACATGAGCTTTGAAGAATAGCAGTGTTCACATCACTAGATTCAAAACTCCACGATATGCTCATAGATTATATCTTCATATCCAAGACAGATAAAGTCAGACTCGTAAAGAGTATGAATTACAACAAGAAACAATATACAACTTGGCCAATTTAGTTATGAACTCAACTAGAGCAATAGTGTACCCAAAAATTTTCATAAGCGGTATCAACATTTGAAGTGAACAAATGAATACATCACTAGGCCACACCCTTTGGGAAAAGGGTACTTAATTGCTCAATCAACTCATTGAACTCTATGGAGGAATCCGATGATCGCGGAGAAAGGGTGTTGGCTAGGGGAAGGTAATAGTTTACTGGTGTTTTACATCTATAAATATTTCTAGAACAGTTGCATATATCCTTTTCGTGTTAACTGAGCCGGACTTATCCATGATACGTGTGATCTACCTCATCTTTTACGCTTCAATTTCTAAGAATAACTGCTAGCATCTATTAAAGAGCCTTCACCTTCACTTTTCCTAAATTCAGACTTTTGTAATTGAGTATCATCTATTTCTTCCCATAGTAACATATCTGCTCGATATGGTTAGTCGGTGAAAAAGTGAAACACCCTTATTCTGCTATTCTGATCTACACTGGCTAATGATGCGATGAGGGAAGTTTTCTCTTAGCTTTGATGCTTGCTCATTGAGAGACTCAGAATATCAGTGCCTAGAGAGAACACTTACCTTCAAGAGAAGATTACCGAACTATTTTCAAACCTGTCCTCTTTGCTACTTCGTTAATGTTGCTTCTTATAACATGGCTAATAAGTTGCAATACAAACTTCTATACCGATTGCAAAATCTCTTTTCTTCTCGTTTTTTAACAATCCATAGGCTACCTAGCTACATTATTATAAATATCTCTCCACTAAGCATTTACCTACTCATGATCATCAACTTTGTACCCATCACCCTTCTATATGTTAATTCTATCCAGGAATAACTGCAATACCGATAATTCTAAATCCATAAAGCACATTATATTTGTTCCTAAATCGACAAAGCACATCTTTCTTTATGAAATCCAAAATGCATCTATGAGTACAAAGGGTCCAAACGAACCTCCAATGAAGCATGATTATATTTGTCTTTGATCAACTGTTTCTAGTTATATAATATGAAAGATGCACATCATTGCTTCTATACTCCAATAAGCGAAGATTAACTTGCATATAGAACAAGCTCATCCCTCCCCCACCCCCAAACACACACACACACACACTCACAATTGCAACACAGTGCAGCTAAATGACATCGTACCTCGCATCTGGAGGGTTCAACACTTCCTCGTGTTGGCGAGGCCAAACTTGAGGCAACCCGATGTCTTTGTGGGCAATGTATAGCCTCTGAAAGTAGCTGGATGAACAAGTAACCTGTATTGAGTTATGATGCAATTTTTGATGCTTAGAGGCAGCATCTCGACCAATAGAATGACAGTACACATAAAAATGATCAGCACCACCAGAAGCATTCCAAAAACTAAACTCTGAACTAACTCTATCAGTATATCCAGCAACAAAATCTTCAATCGCGGAGGCAGAATGCACACGAGGGTGATTTCGCATAATGTTAACCGAAAAGGGCATAAAGTAAAAATGAGCCTCTTCTGGTTTCTTAGTAACAAAGGAACTACCCAAAAGAGCAATCTTGAACATGTGTTCACTAAAGTAATTTCCTAATTTGGGATCAAAGGGGTTTGTATGTGGAATAAAAATACTAGAAAAAGTCGAAAACTTGTTACTCATAAAAGCATCAGGATACACAAATATCTTAAGGGTTTTCATCATTTCTTCATAATCAACAGCAAATAACTCCCAATCATGATAAGGACTAACATTAGTTGACAAAATTTCACCTTTGTTAGACCTATTTTTCACCTTCAATAGTTCAAGATTCTTCATTCCCACTTTCTCTTTAACATCAAACTGAACAAAGACTCCGTTTTTATGTATGAAATTCTTCATTTTTGTTTGTACCATTAGTAAAACACACACCATTACAACTACAATCAACATTACAGAAAAGGGTCTGAGAAAACCCCACCATTTTAAAAGTTTAAAACTTTTTCTATAAGCACAAAAACCCATATTTATCAACAGAGATAACAAGTAGCTTATTTGGGTCAGCTTAAAAATCCTCTTTTTTTCAACCCCATAAAGAAGAAAAACACACAAAAAAACATAGTATTCATCAACAGAGAAATCAAGAAAACTATATGGGTCAGCTTAAAAATCCTCTTTTTACAACCCCACAAAGAAGAAAAAACAAAAAACTTGTCTAAAACACACAAATATTGGTTGGGCTAAGCAGGCGGCAAAAATTGTTTATGTTAAATGTCAATGATCTATAAGAATTGATAATCCCAACGCTGATGGAAGCAAATTCTTCTATCATTGATTTATTTTGTAAAATGACATACTAAAATCATCTATTTTCAATAAAGACGACATATAAAAAGAAACGGAGGGAGTACATAATTAGAAAAGAATGTTAATGTACAACCATACAACGTAGATATTGATCAAATTTTTTGTGTGACAATTTTATTTGAACTTAAATTTTATGGGTTCATTGATGATAGTCTATTAAATGATACATTTTTTTCAAAAGGCTAACACTAATTTTTTTTTTCAGTTTGTGTCACGAAATAAAAATTCAAAATTATCTCAAATTTTCATGTACAATAGTTAAAGGATTTTCTAGAATATGTTTGACTGATACTCATTATTTTCGAAAAGGAGAACATCTCTTTCTTGGATTTTATGTCACAAAACTAGAATCAAGAAAATCTTAGATTTTCTATATGTATTAGTCCATCGAAATATATAACCGACTTTGTTAGAGAACTCTTATATATGTGAATTTTTCGAATTTACTCACAAAATGAGAGTCCTGAATTCTTGTTAGAGTACACCAGCAAATATTTCCAATAGCAGAAATGCTCATAAAATGCCATTCTTATTGAAGATGTTGTCATAATCAGCTCAGTAATTACAAACAATAATATTATTAATCAACTAAACCATCAACTACCATGTATCACATTTCTTCATGTCATTGCCAGCCAAAACTTTAACCAACCTCACTTTTTTTTTATGATGCTATTTTGCACAATTTACAGACAAGAATTGATCCCTTGAATTGGGAAAATGTATGGAATTCCTATCAATTACACCTCTATGGCCTTCTCGGCGTGATTTTCCGACGGAAGTTGCTGCTTCTTGGCTAACATTTCAGCATGTTGTTCTAAGTACTCTCTGCTGTTCATCTCTGTCAACCTGCATTAGATGGCGAAATTTACATTGTTTCAGGTTATTGAACTATTTCGAAGAAGGAAGACGGTTTTGTGAATGAAATAAGAAGATGAAACAATGAAGGTTAGTGAAAGGGAGCCTTGGTGTGACTAGTAAAGTTGTTGCTATGTGATCAGGAGGTCACAGGTTCAAACTGTGGAAACAGACTGACAAAAATGCAAGGTAACGCTGCATACAATACGCTTGTGGTTCATCCCTTTCCCGGACCCCAACTTAGTGCACCAGACTGCCCAAACAATGGACAGCAACTTGTATAATAAACATACAAGTCCACTTTTTGGCCAAATAGAGCAACAAGAGGACGGTTGAAACTATAATTGAATATCGAATAAATAAAAATGAACCCTCTCTAATAGTTTAAGCTTTGAATGAGGTGGTCACTCAATTCAACGTGATATGAGAGCCAGATTCATTCATCATCTTGATTTACCTATTGTTGGACGGCTAAACCCCATGTTATATTGTTCATGTTTCAAATGTCCAGTTCCATGAGTGTGGGGTGTTAAAAAGCCCTACATAGGGAGGGAGTGGGATGTTGTTTCCCTCATGATCTATAGCAAGTTTTTCGGGTTGAGTGAAGGTTGAACACCCATTCTATTAACATGGTATCAGTACAGAGGTTATGGGATAAGTCTCACTTCCTATTTATCAAAAAGAATTTTGACGTGCTTGACACAGGAAAAGGATCATGCCCGCGTGTGAGGGATGTGTTGAAAAAAGAACCAAACAAACAAAAGTGCATCTTTTCTAGCAGCTTGTTCTTTTAAATGAGGTGGCAATACAATTCAAGAAGATAGCATTTTACCTACTAATGGTGCGATCTTTTGCAAAACCCAACTCGTTGTCCACACAAAGGTCAGAATCATCGTTCTTCCGTGACCTTGAAGATGTTCTAGGTGCCATTTGTTGAGCGTCGGATATTGTCACGATCTTTTCAAAAAGTTCGACAGGAGATCCCTCAGCCGTGCATAAAAGTCTAGCTCGATTTTCATACATTACCTAATGATGATAAAATCAAAGAGAAAATTCAGTTTGCTTCTTGACATGGAGCTTCTTCAATGTATGAGTTCGGAAAATTAAAACAAGTGATCAAGCTAGCCAAGAAGAAGAGAACTAACATCAACCAACGTCACAAAACGGTATGCTGCAGTTTTATTATGAAGCCCGAAAATCGGTACGCCATCCAGAGCCAGCGTATGGAAGTTTTCTGGTTACAGGAAAAATAAATGCAATCAAAAACCTCAAGTAATGAATATACTGCTGAATTGCACCATCAGAAACTAAAAAATCATGTTAGTAACCAAATATGCAAAGAGCGAGTAAATGTACAACAACATATCCAGTATAATCCCACAAAGTGAAGTGAGTAAATGTACAGCAAAAAAAAAAAGAAGCACGGAGAACGTTGAAGATAGAAAAATAGCTAGGCAATGCTTGTTTGCCACTTCAACATTAAAAAACTCACCTACTGACCCTACTGTGTAAAAGGCTAATCCGATTATTGAAGTTACTTAAACACTCAAGACCAGAAAGAAGCCACACATCACTTACTAAATAGTCCAAAATAGTCTGCTGCACCAAGAGGCCTGTCGCAGAGTTCCTCAAATGAAAATAATGCACATCCATTAGCACCCAGTGGAACCTAAAGTTAAAGAGAAGACACAATTCTAACTCAAGTTAGTTGTAAGACCTTCACATCATCAAATCAAATGCATAGCTAACTGTAGTCAACAAACCTGCAATTTCCTTCCCATGACAACTTCCACCTCTTGCGGAACTGGTTGAGCATCTCCTACTAGCATTTGGAATTGCTTTTTAATGACACTTGATATATCTTTTCCAATAAAGTAGAAGCCTTGTTCGGCCTACAATAAATAAATTTAATTGAGATCATCGATTAACAAAAAAAATAACTTCCAAATGAACTTGTACAAAGTTAAATACTATACCGAAGTCAACTTCCTGTAGTCCACCGCTGAGCCAATTTCACGTACTACACATCTTTCCTGCATCGAGATACTTTCCCAAGTCATTAAGCCAATCAACATGAGTTGGGAATCGAAGTTGAGAATGTTAAAATAAATAAAGATGATAGCTGATAGTTTCCATTTCAATTACTTGCAGAGGCAGGTTTTTAAAGAAATTTCCCTTTTTCTTTTGTTATTGTCTAGGTAAGTGGCTCTTTAAGAAGATAGTGGAGACAAACAAACAGGAGATACTAAATAGGTAGAAACACATAAATAGAAAGCATGAATAAAGTGTTAAGTACATGAAAGCAGTAATAGAAATGCAGAAATTTTCATAATAAGGTTGTCACTTTTGAAATACCTTCAAAGTAGCTATAAAAGGAAGGAAAAGATCCCTCTGTAATCCACGTTCATAAAGGTTATCGGGAGCACGGTTTGATGTAGCAACAAGAATCTGCATTTGCAACCGTGAAGGATCAATAGAGATAACCTTATGATTGCAGAGATTACCAGGATACAGAAGTTATAGGAATAAAACACACGGTGTATGGGGCAATGAATTACTCACTGCGCCGTTTATAAATAACTGCTTAAATAAGCGATTCAGTATCAGTGCATCAGCCACATCAGTCACCTATATTAACAAGAGAAAACTTTCGGAACTGAGATCTTCTCATAGAAGCTTAAAAACATAGTGAATAGAAAAAAGAAACTTCCCGAGTTCCATACTATACTGACATACCATAAATTCATCAAGACACAACAAAATGGCCTCGTCAGATATTTCTCCTGCCACAACTTCTAGAGGATCTGCCACACCCTTGTGCTTCTGCAATATAGATAGATGGCACAACATTAAGATCAGAAAAAATAAGATTGAATGTGGCTTATAAGCTTTCAGGAATCAAGTATAACCATTTGAAAGCTTTAATAAATGGCCAGATTCTAAATGAAACGCAAAAAGTTAAACGAATGAAAATAGAAGTATATAAAAATTAGTTCTTATGCAATTCTCTACACCTCATTGACAGGATGATTTGATAGATCTAAACAGTTTGTTAAATTAGCAATAATCTTAGTGAAATATTACAATAAAGAATGCTGCAGTCAAAATAATTAATAAGCAGATTGAAACTAAACAAAGTAAAATAAGGTTCATACCTGTAATCGGCTGTGAACATTCAGCATGAAGTCGTGGAAATGGATTCTCTTTTTCCTCCAACTGCCAGGCCTGACATAAAGTGCCCATAGATTGAGATAAAAAAAATTGTCTTTTGGGTTTTCGTACAAATGTAGATACAAACATCTGATTTCTGGCAACATGAATCATTTTGTAAGATAAGGTTGGAACTTACAACTGGTCGAAAAACAGGTCCATTAACATAGTTTTGCCTGTCCCAACTCCCCCGTAAAGATATAATCCTTTGACAGGGGCATATGATGACTGTGGTAAGAGACGAGACCATAACCATCTACTCCTGCAAATTTACCAGAGTGATGTGATGCATCAATACAACGAAACATAAACGTTCACGCTACAAGTCAAATGTACATGTTGCCAATTTCAAGATACAAATATACAATTGAAATGGTGGAAACTCAGATGGTGTTTACCTGCTGGCTTTATCAGAAGAGGCATATTTGTCTAACCGGCAGACTTCCGCTTTTTCAATGAGCTGATCATAAAGTCTTTGGAGCTCTTGCAATGTGCCTACCTACAAAATCATCATCAGAATATATTCTCAACAAGCAATGAAGAGATAAAAATTCATTTCTGATGTAACTGAAACTGAGTTTTGCGAAGTTTCAAGCCCCATCAATTATGAGATGCCTCCACATTTACAAACAGTAAATAACTGGCTTTCGGATATAGAGAATTCTTAAAGGACTACCACATTTTATGACTTCAGTACCTCCAATGGATTCTGTGATTGAATGTCACTAGACAGAATTTCTCAATATGAGAGCCATTCCACATGATGTAAAACTAGAACAACTGCAATTTTTATAGAGTTCAGAAGCCGTAGAGCATGTTGCCCTAAAAAGTAGGCAGTTCCAACTTCAAGCACAAAATTGAGCTTATATGTGATGCATAAGTCATTGATCTGATGCCTATAATCACGCGCAGTTTACATTCACTATATATTAAGCCTGCACCCATCGTTCTCTTGTAAGCTAGTGTGTACTTGAATCGTTCTTCCATATGAAATTCCTACCAACATAAGAAGTATAGAGAAAAAGGCATTATCTACCCAGCCCCAACCCCCCACGGTAGATTGATAAATACAGTATTATCTAGTTAGAGAAAACAGAGTTCAAAGAATTCAATAATTCGTAAGTGCACAGAAGGCACAATCAGACAATGCACAATTTTTCTGCATCTATTTAACAACAACTAAGCATACAAATGCCTACCCTAAGCTGATTAACATTAACACAGCACTAACTATTGCTTACCTGGCATGCATCTCCATCCAAGAGCTCACCCTCAGCAATTCTTCGTTCATATTCCACTAGAGGCCCGCCTCTGGTCTCCACTAAAATTGAATCAATCAAAACAACAACCAAAAACAGTAAGAACTTATGATCAATATATACACAAAAAGTACATACAAGAACAACGAACTCATCAGAAGACCATATACCTCCGTTACTAACTGTAGCTACATCGGCAAACATGGCTCTGGACAACATGTAATATGGTTGGCTAACTCTAGTAATACCACCATTATAAGACAGTTTGCATAAACAGCCATGACTTATATCAGTCGAAAAATATTGTCTTCTTACAAGACTATTAATCACATTATCCTTCCTATACTGCAGAGCGGATTTGATTTGCCTCACAGACTGCAGAACTTTCCTCATGTTGATTTCCAAACTTCCAGGAAAGACTACAAATTTAGTCCTCCCTAATTCCTTTAAGAGTAGTCTCGACAAGTTCCTTGAATAAACACCAGTTTCTGAAGCAAGCAAGTGGCAATAAACAATTAGTGGAATATATACCAACTTCCACAAGACAAGACAAACAATTCCCCCAGCATAAAAGTTTGAGCCATTGATAAAAAAAAACAATCTTTGCATCTCACTTTCAAGTTGGACAAAAAAAAAACTTTTCTAACCTTAATTTAAATCTAAAACACAGTTGGAAAAGTAAATGACCAACCAATAATAGCTATCATAGCTACACAAAGTAGAGTAATTATGACTTTAGTAACGCCAAACTATGACCAAAACATCTACCACTCCCAATAAAATCTATAGAGATCTAACCAAGATTAAAACCTATAACTCTGCATGAAACAGTTAACTGGCAATGAACAAATTAAATTCAAGAAAAGATTCTCAATGGAATCACCTTATAGACTAATTGAGCCAAAACCCAGAATTGCCAGAGAACTAATCTCAAGAAAAGTGAAATAAAAATCCATTCTTGAAACAAGTAACATTAACAAAAATCACATCATATCTCCACAAAGTATTTTCAATGGAATCACCTTAATAGAGTTATAGACTAATTGAGCCAAAACCCATAATTGCAATAGAGCTGATCTACAAGAAAAATTGAACCAAAATTCTGTTCTTGAAACAACTAACAACCACAACATCCCCAATGTAATCTCACAAGTGGGGTCTGGGGAAGTTAGAGTGTACGCACACCTTACCCAACCTCGGGTTGTTTTCGAAAGACCCTCCACTCCAGTGCAACTAACATTAACAAAAATCACATCATATCTCCAAATAAAACAATTTCAATGGAATCACCTTAATATGCTAATTGAGCCAAAACCCACAATTCCAAAAGAGCTGATCTTCAACAAAAAGGTAAGATAAAAATCTGTTCTTGAAACAACAAAAAATCACACCACAAGCACACGCAACTGCATGCTGATTTCTGATTCTTGTTTCTCTCTCTCTCTCTGTGAATTTTAAAGATAAAATGGGATAAACAAGATAAAGAACTTATTTTTCTTTCTGGGTGTCAAAGTTTTAATCTTTTTTTTTTACATAAAGACCAAAAAGGAAAGTGAAAACACAGGGTTTTTCAAAAACCAATTTTTCTGGAATTTTAACAGACAGAATGAGATAAAAAAAAAACTTATTCTTCCTATTTTGGTGTCTAATCTAAGTTCTTCTTTATAATGAGTTTTTCAAGACCCTATTTTTCTGGAATTTCCTAGGAAAAAACAACAACATCAACAACAAAAACCAAAAAATAAAACAAGAAGAGGAAAGAATAAGAACAAACCTTCAAAAGGGTATCAGGGTATGGGCCTTTTACAGCATGTGGGGTAGGTGAGGTGCATAAGCGGGGTATGGGGTAAAGGATCAAAAGTTCTCCAATATTTTATGAGCTTTCTTAGTTTTCTAATCTTTACAGGTTTTGGACTTTTTTCTATCAATGGTAGAGTTCATGAAATGACAATGATGTCCTTGGTTGACTTGGACAATGAGTAGGAAGAGGTGTAAATATTGGGATTAGTTGAGGGTATTTTTGGTAGTTTGAGAGACTTTACTGACACGTAATTTGGGCATGGTGCATTATAGAAGATGAGTCACTTAAACGTCACTGTATGAGTCTTTTTCTTCTTTTTTATTGGGGGAATAATTAATCGCGATTTCATTTTTAATGAGCGTCGTCATTTAATATGTGTTTGTTTTAAAAAAAAGATATATGTATATTTACTTTGTAACAACTTTATATATTTGGTTGAAGTTTAATTATTTTTACCTGAACTCAATTATATTTGTCGGTTAAGAACTCTCACATTCACAAAATGAAAGTAGTGGATATAAAGATGCTGTGAGGGATGTGTAGGTATACTGAAAGGCATAGAATAAAAAATAGGAATATTCGAGATAAGGTAAAAGTGATTTCAGTAAAAGACAAGATGCATAAATCGAGATCGAGATGGTTTGGTCATGTTATGGGAGATACGGATGCTTCGATACGGAGGTGCAAGAAGTTAGCTATGAATGAATTCATGAGAGGTAGAGATAGACCGAATAAGTATTGAGAAGCGGTGATTAGACATGATATGACACAATTACAGCTTATCGAAAAGATGACCTTAGATAGATTGATGTGGAGGACATGGATTAGGATATAGAAGGATAGTAGGTAGGAGTTTATGGTCATGTTGTCCATTCTAGTATTACTCTCGTTTCTTGTTATTCGATTTCGTTATAATTTGTTGTTTGTTTGATGTAGTATTATGTTATTGTAGTATTGTTTTGCTATTATTTTTTATTTTCATTACTTTTTTTCTAGACTGTTTTATTTTGAGGTGAAGGTCTATTAAAGTAATCGTTTTACCTCTAAAATATCATATGATTTTATATATTTAAAATGGATATATATATATAAAAAAAAATTTAATTACAAATTAAATGACAATATTAAAACACATTGTCCTTTAGCATCTTTTAAAGTGGAAAATGAATATTTTTGGGCCCCACTAAACAACATAATTTTTTTATTTTTTTTAAAACTTTAGTACCTCTTTTTAATATTTTTTTAGTCAAAAGAATAATTATCATATTGTACCTCTTATCACGTGCCTATTTTTTTCTTTCTATTATTGAGATCTAATTCATAAAATTCCATGCTCAACATGTTATTTCCCTTTTTACTCATCTTGAAATTGACTTATTAGGGGCAAATATAACCCTTCAATATAATCGAGTTTATAATCGATTTTACAATTATATATATATATATATATATATATATATTTCAAATTATTTATAGTATTCAGTTCTTGAATAAGAATGTGAACATACAAGTCATGAGCATAACAATCACATGACGAAGCAGAGCACTCCTACATTGACATTTCTAATCAAGTCAAAGAAGATACAATTGAGAGTCTCGCAAATTGCGCAATCAATTTAAAAATATTAATGAAGTCATTTTACATTTTTTTTTTGTTTTTCTAACCGAAACTCTTTCCCAATAGGACTCTAAAAATATACATACTCAAAATAGTGATATTTTGCCTCTATTTGCCTAATTTAAAATATTAAATTCAATTTTGACTACATTTATGATTCCACATGGTCCTTTAATAACAAAGTAATGAATGACTTGCATTTTCAAAAAAATGATTACGATGCAAAAACAATTTTATCTTATATATATAAACATATTTTAGATGATAGTTTTTGAAAAAGAAAACATCTCATAACGGTATATAATCTTTATATTCTTACCCAAAAGTTTTAGATTGTGAGTTTCGATAATAAAATAAATTATTAGCAAACAACACATTTTCATTTAATTAATCTTACGCAACACACATTTGAACAAGTCAAAATCCCAAAATCAGTGACGAAACTAAAATTTGCAAAACTTTTAGCAAGTTAAAGTCATTTTAATTTTTTTTTACTACGCGAATACAAAAATTCAAGATCGAATACTTTTAGAAACACCACACGTCATTTCCCGCCTCATACAATAATGACTTGTTTGGGTTTGGGCTATATGGATTGGGCTTAAAATTCATCATCCATGACCCGAATAAAAAAGCCCAAAAACAGAACCCGATCTGATCAGCTTTCTTCTTCTTCTTCATCAATGGCATAAAATTCAATTTTCCAAAATTAGGGCTTAAGGAAGAAAACAGAAATGGCGAATCAAGGAGCAAAAAAGCGTAAGGAAGAAAATACTCGTCATATGAAGAAACTATTTCAAGTCATCATTGCCTGCAACGTAAAATTCTCTTCTTCTTTTTCAAAAATTGGATTTTTTTTTGTTTGATTAAAAAAAAGTGAACTTTTTTTTTTGGGTTTGTGTAGGTGATTTATTTATTGATGAGAGGTGGAATTTTCTATTCAAGTTTCACATGGAAGCATATTGTTGGATTATTGTTGACTTCATTGGCATATGTTTTACCGTACAAACAATTAGCTTCAATGGCGAAGCCGAGTTATGGTGATGATGGGGAGATGTTTGATGGTGGATATGATATGAGTACTGGTGGAATTTGTGGGTAATTTGTAGTTTCATTTCGTAATTTTTAATTCTAGGTTCTGAATTTTGTCTTTTTGAGCTGTTTTTGACGTTTACTCGATATACTATCGGCCTTTGATTACACGTGGTATGTTGTTGTTGTTGGTTTTATAGAATTTGTGAACTATGTTACTTGAATTTGAGTATGAGATGAGTACTGACTTGGGTTTGATCGATTTTTAGTTCGTTAGAATGGGGGCATTCAATTTTTAGTAGGTTTCGAGTGTATTTTGAAGGATCTGCTCCACATTACACCGATGGTGATTCTTGGGTTCTGAATTTCCTTTCCTCTCTTTTTGAGCTGTTTTGACTTTTATTTGATAAATTACCGGCCTTGTTTTTATAGAATTTGTTAGCTATGTTACCTGGATTTGAGTATGAGATAAGTATTGACTTGGGTAAGGTCGATTTTTAGTTGGTTAAAATGGGGGCATTCAATTTTAGTTGGCTTTGAGTGTATTTTGAAGGATCTACCCCGTGTCACACTCATTTGAACCGATGATGAAATGAAAAGACGAACAGAAAAATGATGAGTAGATGAATAAAGAAGTCTCTGTTGCTAATTGAGTATGCTAAATACTCCCTCCGTCCCTATTTACTTGTCCATATTTCCTTTTTTAGTTGTCCCTATTTAGTTGTCCATTTTGACAAATCAAGAAAGGACAACAAATTTTTTCCTATTATACCCTTATTTACACTTCTTGAAAATTGTAATAGTGTATGTTGTTTCCCTCCAATTTATTTCACTTGAATTCAAATAAGTGGTTGTAATTTTGAAGTGAAAAGTTGTCATAAGGGTAAAATTGTAACTTCACTGTGCTAATCATTGTTGCCTTAATCTGTGTGCCATTTCTAAAGTGGACAACTAAAAAGGGACGGAGGGAGTAGTACTCTCTCCATCCCAATTTAAGTGTCTTACTTTCCTTTTTGATTTGTCCTAAAAAGAGTATCTCTTTCTATATTTAGTAAGTTTTTTTATTCCAATATTCAAAAGTTTTTCTTTGTTTCTTAAACTCCGTGCCCAATCAAACTAAGACACTTAAGTTGGAATGGAGGGAGTATTAGTTATGTGGAGTTGTTGTCCTTTCTTTAAGATTTTCCCCTTATTTTGGGTAATCAACTTGATATCCGTCTGTGTTTTGAAGTTGTGCTTCAAGTAGTGATGGAGTTAAACATTTGGACTAGGAAGAAAACTATCATAACTGCATTTCTTTCTCATTTTGTCTTATTATCCGGTGTTGTGGGTGGCCTTTAGGATAATAGAAGTCGGAGGCGTTTGTCCTACTTGAAAAATAACTTCTTACCTTGGCACACGTCTTTGTTTTTCCTACTTGTTTCGGAATGAAGGCATGGGAAAAACACTTCATTTGTTTTCATGCCTTCTCTTACTAAAAAGTATAGGATTCAAATTAGTTGGGCAAGATTTAGGAGGGCGCTGGCTGGATGTGTTAGCTCTGTTAAAGGAGACATCAAATTACGAGTTCTTTTTCTATCCCAAGGCCCAGTACATATCCATTTCCTTGTATAAAAAGTTCTTTTTATTATTATTACTTTCGGGTTTGTGGGGAGGGAATAGACTGGAGTTTAATTAAAACCATTAGTGCGATAGTCACTTTTAATGTATATAGACTATAGAGAGAGACTGGTTGTTGGATTCTAAAATTTGAACTTGACTTCAAGCTGTAAATTTTAGGTGTGAATATGCGCTACTGATCATTTTCCTTCATGAGCTTTGTGGTAACTTCATAATCTCCTGCACCATTTTGTTTGAAAATATAATCTCACCTTGCTTTGATTCTTGCTTGCAGATATTTACATGATATAATCTACATTACATGTTTCGTGCAATTGGCTTCTATCATCTCCGACAAGTTCTGGTACACATATCTAGTGGTAAGTTTATTTTACCTCTGTCCATGCTTTAGTTACACGGCGCAGTCATTTTTTTGGTTTTTGAGAATGGAACAGATCATATAATTAGTAGGACCTATCCATATCCACTGCTGCCAAAATTTCGTAAACATAAAATGTTGGCAATGTGTTATTTCTGCTGTATTTCTTCTTGGTATGCTCTAT